AACAATAAAACTTGTAAAAAAGTAAACAATATAACAATAATAATGACATTGACTTCAATACTAATACGTTTTTTTGATACTTTTTTAACATTTCAACATATACAGCCTTTTGCAAAAATTATGAAAATTGTTGAAATATCTAAATATCATAATATCGAGTGCATGATGGGTAATCCCGCGCGATGCCCTTAGTCCCTTGTCTTTGTAGTTTAGTTTTTTTTTGGCGACAGACTTATCCGTAGTTCTGAACATTTTCTCGATGTCAACAATGAATTATTCTAGCAAACCCGCGTGTTCCGGACAATATATGGATATGGATATTTTGATATTTAGATATTTAGATAATTCTCATAATTTTTGCAAAAGGCTGTACGTATTAAGAATATATAAATATAAAAAACAAATCTTAAGTTTATATCTTATAAAATACTTAAAAAGGAAGTTAGTATGCCTGTAGAAAAAGCCAGGTCTTTAAAGCTTTTTTAAAATTTGATAAACAAGAGCTAGATCTGATATCACTTGGTAGTGAGTTCCACAATTCAGGACCAGAGAAAGAAAATGCTCTTTTGCCATAAAGCTTAAGATTAAAAGAAGTTTTAACTAAAAGATTAGATGAAGAAGATCTTAAAGAGCGTGAGGGTACATACGGATGCAGAAGATTTGAAAGATAAGAAGGAGTATTTTCATGTAAAAGTGATTAAAAGTATTTTATATTGAATACGCTGTTYAACGGGCAGCCAATGCAGGTTACTAAGAATGGGAGTGATATGCGAATATTTGCGAGAGTAAGTTACAAGTCTAGCTGCAGCATTTTGCACATACTGAAGCTTTCTTAGAGTTGTCTTGGGAAGACCATACAGTAATGAATTACAGAAATCAAGTTTAGAGGTCACTAGAGCGTGCACGAGAGTCTCACAGGCATTCATGCTGAGAGATTTTCTGATTTTCCAAATGTTATGAATGTGAAAGAAGCATGCTTTACATGTTGCTGTTACATGAGCATCAAGGGACATATTCTTATCAAAAATAGCACCGATGTTGCGAACAGTGGTTGAAGGAGAAACTTCAAAACCAGAAATTGCGAAAGAATCAAGAAATGGAGAAGAACGTCGTGGAGAGGAGATCATTAATATCTCAGTCTTATCACCATTTAATTTCAATTTATTTTGAACCATCCACATGTCAATGTCATGAACACAGGCTTCAACTTTGTGTTTTGCAATATTGAGCTCAACAGASGATGATGAAGGAAAAGAAATGTAGAGTTGAGTGTCATCAGCATATAAGTGATACTCTAAACCATGAAGACTTATAACATTTGCAATGGGGGATATATACAGTGAAAACAAAATAGGTCCCAAAACAGAACCCTGTGGAACACCACAATCAAAACTACGGGAAGTAGATGTGCCATCCTGTACACTAACATAGAACGTTCTGTAGCTTAGGTAGGATTTAAACCAATTATAAGCATTCCCAGTAATGCCAAAAACTGAAAAAAGTCGATTTAATAATATTCGATGATTAACTGTGTCAAAAGCTGCAGATAAATCTAGAAGAAMAAGAAAAACTGATTTGCGTTGATCGATTGCACGCAAAATGTCATTGTGAACTTTCAAGAGGGCTGTTTCGACACTATGRTGTTTCTTATATGCYGATTGGAGTGGCAACTGAAGGTTATTCTGTTCGAGGTGGTYAACCAGCTGTGAGGCCACKACCTTTTCAATGGCYTTTGATAAAAACTTTAAATTTGAAATCGGTCTAAAACTTGAAAACTCCTCTGGTGGCAAGGTTTGCTTTTTAAGAAGTGGTTTAATTACAGAAAGCTTAAGTGGTAAAGGCATTAATGCATTCTCCAAAGTGATATGTCGGAGGAACCGTTTTTTACGTAGACAGTCCGGTACTGGGTTTGATTTTTTGAGTGAAACTTGAACCCATTCTTCTGATGTTTTTAAATCGGTGGTAAATCGATCTTTCCCATGATCCCTACAAAAGGAATAAATCATTTTGCTAGAATTAGTTARCGATATCATCCGCTAGTCTCCAAAGCATCCGTTTCCGGTTGTTCTCTAACACGTTAGCAAACAAACGGAAACGTATGCTTCATAGGCTAATCATCCGCAGTACAATGATGTTATATATGTTATTGGGAAGTAGCATTATACAAGGAAATGAAAACGGCCCCTAAAATAATAATACACCAGTATAAAAGCCAGTGCAATTAATATACTTCCTGCACGACAACAAAAAAAGGTTATTACTTATACTGACTTACAAAGCCGCTCCCCAATGTATCAGCGAGGAATGGGTATCTTCTTATAAGAGTACTCGCAACCTGCTCTCTTTCGGTTTTTGTTGGGTATAACGTGTGACATTTTATGCTATTTACAACATCTCTTATTAATTCGTTCCTTGCGAAGTCTGACAGACTCTTCTTGGCAATGGCCTCTCTGGGAGAAAACTGTGCACGAAAAAGAAAGACGGTATAGTTTTAGTCATGTTACATCCATTTATCATAATTATAATCAGGTAATAAATTATCCTTTTGAGTGAAAAAATTCGTTCGATATATAAAGCTAAACCGTGGACGCACGTACCAAAAGATATTGTCGTTTGAAATATATGCTAGTGAATCGAAATTCAATATATAGTGTGGGTCAATTTACTGGTGCTCTTCTCATAACGGTTGTGTGTGATATATTTAAAAAACGATTTGGAGTGTTTTATCGTGAGATATAAACACGAGATATAAACACGAGCACGTTTTTTTTTTTTAATTACTTCTAAAACCCGAACATAAGAAACTACAAGATTTTAGTTTAACACGAAATAAATAAAAAAAAATATTTCAAATGAATAA